TTGTAATAAAGGAATTAAGATTAATGTATTATTCAACTATATCTCGAAATGATAATGAAAATATTTCATTTAAATGTAAATTTTGGCACTGTCCATTGTTTAAACAATACAGATTTTTTCACCCCCGCTCTCTGGACAATCAAGTGTGTTCGATGAAATACATTCACCTGGGACAGAGAGAGAGAGAGAGAGAGAGAGAGAGAGAGAGAGAGAGAGAGAGAGAGAGAGAGAGAGATGAAGATCACCACTGATGCTGTTTCTAACTCTATCGTTAAACCAACAAATAATTTCACATTTTCAAACAACAATTATTACATGTATAAATATGGATTTATGATTTAAATAAAATCTTCAGAGACAGTGATCATTTACGTTACACCCTGAACAGCGAGTTTTGATAAACTACGATACTTTAGTTAAGAAATCTTTGGATTTAGCATTGATCAACCAATTGAAATAATAATAAAACTATTTCTTTTTTCTTGAACATATATTTTTTATATATTTTGACTTATATGAGAGAGAGAGAGAGAGAGAGAGCCACCAATTGTTTATATCAAAGACCTCAGTTTAATATATGGATATAGATGTCTTCATAAAAATATGATCGTTTGTTTTGATAAACTACATGTAGCATTGCATTTGTAAAATTTTGTAGTGCAATACTATATTCGAAAGACCTCCTGAAAGAGATTTAAACACTTCATCGTTAAATGTAAACACATTCTACAACTACAAAGAGTAAAAGTGTTCATTAATTATACTATAATACTATATACTATAATTCATACTTTTGTAAACATTATCTCTTTATGAACATTAATTAACAGCAAAAAAGATAGAAAAAAATAAAACAGAAATGAATGGAAAAATATACTTTCCGATATCGACATCATAACATTATCAGCCCAGCAATCGCATCACTGTTCTATGAAATTATTGATGATGAAGTAATTTATTTTAAACGGACTGCTAAATATTACAGAACTATGTGAAAATTAAATTTTGATTTATCCATATCATTATGATTTTCAATATGAAAAAACCATCTTTAACCAAAATATATGTAATGAGCATATACATGTAATGAATAAATCCAATGCACCTACAGTGTATATGTAACGATGTGCAGTGTTACAACGCATTTTAAAAATTACGCACTTTGAAAAATTTTGCGTTGACATCGACCATATTAACGCACTTTGAAAAAAAATGTGTATGTCATGGTCAATAATCTTGAAAATCTTAGGTGTGATAAATGGTTGAACCTGTTTGATAACTTTTCGGTAATAAGGTCACTTCCGGATGTGAAAATTAACAATTTTGATTTTTCCATACTTAGAATTCTTTCCCTCTTAAAAAAAAAAAAAATTGCCCCCCCCCCCCAAAAAAAAGTCTCCGCATAATTAAACAAACATTATTAGTCTTGTTGTTTTAAAATTTTTTGAAAATGTACTTTGGAAGCTCAGAAAAAAATGTCAAGAGTTTAAATTTTATAGGATAGGATTTAAAGAAAAATTCAACTGAAAAAATTCTTTATTAGCCCCCAAAAAAACGAGATTTTTTTAAATTTAAAATTTTGCTATGGGGTTCTGGGTGGGGTTAGAGGTGGGGGTTTGAAGTTTATAATGAGGGATTACATACAAACGAAAAGATAAAATCAAAATCAAAATTAAATTTAAATGCCCCCTCCCCCCCTCGGAATACCAACCCAAATCAATAAATTCGATCTCTGATGTTATATTCATTCGATTGGAAGTCGGAGCAAGTACAAAAGTTTTTCAATCCAAGCTTTTTGTATCGATGTATAATCTCCCGATCTTAGATCAATGTTGAAATTGAAAAAATCCCTTTTATTTATGTTTTTTATAGTTTTTATGTAATCTACATAAGCGCAAACATTTTATAACACAACATATTCACCGGATTTGAGGCTGTATTCACCGGAGGGTCAGTGCGCGGGGAGCGGCATTGTGACGTCACAATCAACACTTCGGTCAATATTGATATTTTTTTTTTTTTTATTTAACAAACCATATTCAACTCCAAAAGAGTCCATAATTGTATATATATTCATTTTCACTACATTGTTGGGTCTAGCCAATAGAGAGATAGGAAAAATGTTATGATTCAATCATATATAATAAATTTCTTATTTCAAACAATGGAGGGGGACCCCCCTCTGTCCTCGATATTGCGTCTTTATGCTGCTGCTGTTGTTGTTGTTTTTTTAAATTCCGAAAACTTAAAATTCCTTCAGATAAATCTATCAAAATTATCTATGTGTCTGAATATATAAATATTATGATTTTTTAACTTTTGTTGGAGGAAATGCGAACTGATAGTGATTACATTGATTAGATTGACACAATAAGATACTGCATTTCAAAGCAAATTTTTTTTTCCAACTTTCTATACTTACTTTGTATACATTACAGCTTTCAGTTCTTGATAATTCATCAGAATATCAATTCATATTAAAATATTTATAGACCTGCCTTCGAAAAAAAATGTACACTGTATTTGTTCGGAACTCAACTAAAGGGAGGTAAACAACCATCTCCTACATTTTTAGAGTTGTTCCTCTTTGATCAGTGAACTGAAAATGGTATCAATAAGGAAAATATGATTTCTTTTATTTATATTTTATAACTATTATAAGATTGATTTGCTTTTTGAACACAAAGTAACATAATTTTTTTATCATACATTTTAATTTTGGTTGTTACACGTCATTTGATCGGATAAAAGATTTAAATAATCTATGTCGTATTAAAATAGGTTGCTTATGTCACAACTTGATATCGCGATTACTTAACTTAGCGGAACTCTTTCGCGATGGAGGTAGGAAACGTCTGTTGGGTGGGGGCAAATGTGCTATTTAATATAATGCAAGATCGATCATTGTAGCATTTACAAGGACAGATAAGTAAAAAAACCTGGTGGAATACTTTTCTAAACAATCGCTGAACCAGCCTAATAAATTTTTGGAAAAAAGCCAATCCTAAATTGTTACATTTTTAACGATATTTTTAATTAAGCTGACTCTTCTAGTTAAATTTTCATTGAAAATCGTCACATTTTAAAGCAGATAAAATATTTAAACTTTCTTATATGACAATGTACTATTTGGAGTTCAAATCTGGCAAAACATTGTGATTTCGGCATTAAATTGTTGGAATCAGTTGATTACCGTCTTCCTTGGAAGACGGTATTATATATTGAATTTTTTCAGTTTCGGACTATGCACTTTCTCTCTTTTGTGATTGGTAGAAATTGCATGATGAGAAAATTTTCAATTATTTCATTGGTTGAAATGCTGTTCAAGGCAAGGGAGATAACTTTCTTATGGTCTAATTTTGTACACTTAACAATTTTTAAATATTTCCAATTTAAAAAAATAGCAAAACGAACAACAAAATCAGAAGTAATTAATTCTAAATAACAATATTTTTAATAGAAATAACTAAAAAGGTCTTTTATTTTCATCAATTGAAAAAAGATTTAATGATTGATTTTTTATTGCTTGCTGGCTTTACTATATGTATTTATTCTTTTCCCCTTATTTGTTTGAAGAAAGTAACATTTAACGGAATCGGCCGGGGTTTGCCGAAGGTCTCGGTCAGTTTACGGAGATGACCGAGCGAAAACGGGTAGGGCTAATCCGTATAAAGCTAATTTAGAAATACGAAATCAAAAATTCAAAAGAATTATACGACTTTAAAAAATGTTAATCAGTTAACTGTTTAAGGTTGTTGCTAAAAACAGTAAGCTTTTTTGAAAAGCTCATTGTTGTCACTACTGTAAACAATGTCATGTGCCCCAGAAATTTTGACCTTTCTCACTCCCCCGCAAAAGAGCGGACATGTGTTTTAATTAAAAGAGATTGATAAGTAAAATCATGAAGACTAAATCACTGAAAAGAGTCTTTTGCTTCTTTCCGAGCACCGAGGACATTATTTATTGAACAGCCCTCGTAATTTTTTATTAATTTTGATTGGATAAAAGATTTATTCTATATCGTTTTTATGACATAGGTTGCCTACCGTACGTCACAATGAATTACGTCAAGAGCGTATTATTCTGCTTGACGTTACTTTTATTATTGATCAGTCATAATAATACAGAGGTAAAAATATAAGCTTCAGTTCTTAATTGTAATGTCCCTTCCAGTTTCCTTGTCCTAACAAATGAAATAGATATGAGCACTTAGCACGCTCATGACGCTGGCAGTGCACGTTTTTCTTGTAGACCACATTCCTTTTCGGTCCATAAAGGGAGATGAGCTCAGCTCCAAATTAGAAATTGTTTATCCGTTTTCTGTTGATTAAACGTGTGTTGACGACTGACAAACTCATCTACATTAAGTTAAAATCATCACGGTGGGGAACAGAGCAACGATGACGAAATCAGTTTATGATTTAGAATTCTGAAATTTATATATAGGCGCTGAAATGGACGTGGGTATTTTTTTCCGAGATGAGAGCTTTCATCCCTTGCTGGGCGTGGTACGCCGTTTTTAAACGTGGTTTTTCTATCCTGAAAGTGTCAGAATCTTTATTTTAACAATTTTAAGCGCATTTAAAGAAGATTCAAAATTTATTAATTTATTTGACATTTAACAATCCAGAAGACAAGCCCCTATGAGTAGAAAAAACTCCGCTAGATTAAGAATCTCAGGAATCATAAAACAAAGGAGTACATTTTAATTAAGTAGTACAGTTTGAATCCTGATAATCGGGATAAATGGGGAGGGGGTTATTAGCAAAGCAGGCCCATATAGGAACGGAGGCGAGGAGGAGGGTGTCACGTGCCCCAAAAATTGAACTCACAATTATCAATAGAAACAAAGCATGCTCATTAAAATTGGTTCTTCTGTTGGCTTTATCCGTCCCCCCTTTGTTTTCTCCACGTCCCAAGCCCTCCAGCTTAATTTTTTTTCCTAAAATGAATCGAGACAGAAACATATATTTCGTTATATGAAACGAACGAGATTTATTTGACACACAGGTCTCTACTCATTATCCAATGATGTTCATCAATTCATCATCACTCAATCTGCAAGAGAGGAATATCGTCATCAATACAAGTACTATGTGTCGTATGAATCGCATTCTGGGTTTTTTTTTAAATCGACGAAAAAAGTAAACTAAGTCGACTCACTCTTTCTCACAGATGTAGTAGAACATTTGGTGACAGGCGAAATCGTGCCATTGGATCGAAGAGTCCGTGAAACAGTTGTAGGCGACACAATCCTCGCTGCCACCGTTTGGTTGACTAGCATGCCAGTCAGTGAAGGTAAAAGGTGCTCTACCTTTTACCCAAATATAGGAACCTTCGTTTTCTAGGTCATTACCACCCGTCCAGTAATTGACATTATCAGAATTATCTGTCAATATGAATACATGTTTAAGACATCATTCATATTCAAGGGATAAGGTGGGTTTGATTTAAGGTACTCCGATCCCCAGGTTCTGAAAAATTTAAAATGCTGAACAAAATGTCTCTGAATATTCAAAGTAATGTGTTTTACCCACGATAATTCTTCAAACTTCATCTTTAGAGTTAATCATATTATGTAGGGAAAATTATTAGTCTCTTACCGGTGACACAGATCAAGTTTGAACAAACACATTTTAGAAATAAAAATCAAAGGTATCCATGCTTTTGAAGAAATTGCACAATTTATTTTACTTGTATATTTAAAGGTACTTAGTTTTCTCTATTTACTTCACAATGCATAGATGATAAGGATTTTCTTATCATTACAAAACACCATAAATCGCTTCTAATTTCATATGTTAATAAGCATTGGTATCTATGGTTAGATTAAAAGAACGTGAATTTCTTTGTTATTTTACAATGCTTTTATGGGATAAAAACTTCGACTTCTTATAAAATCTTCAAAGATCCTCGAAGCACATTGAGAGATATAAAATAAAAATTGTTGCATGATTATCCTTCCTGGCTGAGGATCGGAGTACCTTAATATAATAAATATTTAAAAAGAAAAGAAAAGATTATTACATGTGTATTTGTAATCCCTATGTTTCTATGTAAAACATCTCGTTTAAAAAATTATACCCCGAAAAACTGGTCAAGAATTAAAATATTCCAGAGAAAGAGAAATTGGGTTTGATACTATATAGCTATATATGTCAGGTTAACTTACGGTTTGGATGAAGATGAGATATTCGGTTTTTCAAAAACTTGTTCTCTACAGAAGATTCAACCTCCACCAGTTTTCCTTGTAAAGCAGTGCATATTAACTGTTTGTACAAAAGTCAAGGTTTCAGGTTTCAGAACACCAACAGAATACTATTAATGAGTGAAGTAATAGCAGTCACTTGTAAACAGAATACCTCTGTATTAATATTTTTGTGTCTAATATAGAGACAAAGATGAACATGGTTGTCAGCAACTACAGCAAAAAAATGTGTTGTACGGAATTAATGTTATTGTATTGGGTAAGTAGACGTCAATATCAAAAAAGGTATACAAAAATTGGTTGTTAGCAAAAATTTTTGTCGGAAATTGACTGACCCCTGCTGATGCCCAGTTCTCAGTCTCATCTTTAAAAAGGTAACACGAGGCCTGAAAGTGGACCCATCCTGGATCACATCCGGTGGTATGGCCACCTTAACAAAGGACCACAATTCTATTTACGTATTGTCGTATATACCGGTATAGTGGGATAAAAATAATGCGGAAATGTACAAAATGTAAAAAAGCACACTAACCGTAAAATGACGTAAGTACAACTCCAAAGAATAAAAGTTGTTGAATTACCATTTTGAGACTAAGATTATTTGTAGGGCACTGTGATAAGGAACGATTAAAGAATGATAAGGAGCAAAAGTGCAGAACGATATATAAATTATATATGAATAATTCAATGTACATGTACATGTATGTGCACTCTTGTCAGAAAAGACAATCCTCCCTTATCATCTAATATTTTTGTAATATATAATGTTTGAAATGGTGTTTCTCGTCTCTAACTTAAAAAAAATCATTATTCCTTTAATAAAAAAAAATATATAAACGTTCCACGTTATGAAGGTAAAAATTTTCAACATAAAACTATTTAAGAGAGATCAAATTTCAGTATTTTAAAAACAAATGGTTGCATTTTTTCAGAGTGCAGTTGGGATTGGTCCAAACTTGCAAATTGTTCACCTTTAAAACCCAACTAAAAAAATGACTCGTGGTAAGACATCTAACCACATTGTTCCCACCTGATCGACAGTCCAAACTGCACTGTGTCCTTTCTGTTGTCCGAAGTCTTAAATTGCTTTAAAAAAATGATCGAAGTACTTTGAGGGAGTTTTGTTATATAGGTCAATGTTTTCAAGAAACCTCTTCTGATGACGATCAGAGATTGTAATACTGAATATTTCATTATTCAGTTTGCAATTTATGTCATATTGTTGATGTTAATTGTTTTATCTTTGATTCAAGTTTGTTAAAATTTAGAAGGGGTTCGGATCACAGTGAGTGATTAGAGTTTTACAAAGAATACACAGCAAAGTCATGATTTGTAAGCATACTGAAGTATTGCAAAAACTTTTCAATACTGAACCGATTTCTTTTTTTCCTGCAAATGTGCCCAGATGAGCGATGTGACCCATGGGCCTCTTGTTAGCATGTCTCTTGATATTTTTCTTTCCAAGATTTTTTTTACCAAACATATAGTTTGGTTATGATTGATCCCCCCTCTTTTTATTTTTACAAAAGTTTACTAATGGACCTCAAATTTAAAAATGTTTGAAGAAGTCTCAGTTTTAGAACTATAATATAGTATCAATATACTATCAATAGCGATGGTTAATACACACTTGGATATCCACTGCAACTAAGCAAATTTTACAGTTCCTGAGAAAGATTGTTTTTATCTCCATTACGTGCAGGACTTCTAAGCTGCTTGTATGGTTTCTAATTTTTGTAGGTAAGCTAGCATACTTTTCAGTATTTAGTTTGATACTGAGGTACACCAAATCTAAAGGAAACAGAAAAAATACAGACATATTTTAAATTTATATTTATTCAATTTTTGGCAATGAACCTATCTGTTCAGATATACAGTGTACATGTTTTTTACTTTTTTGTGAACAGATATTTCCATGAGACATACGATGCCCAGCGCCGCGGAACAAATTCCAGACTCTGGCTGTAGGGCGTACATCCTTGCTGCTGGACACGGTTCCAGTAGGACATGGTATTAGGATTTCTACATCCCCTTGGTCCGCCATTATGAATTCTCGCATAACTCTCGCAGTTGGCGGGACAACCACTGCTACCAATGTAGCGGTTCATGTAGGCACGCACACATCCGGCGGCACAGTTGTAATCATTGGCGCATTCTTTCCAACCTATCATAAAAATAGGACCGTTTTCAAATTAATTTATATGAAATAGTGACATTTACTAAAACCACCTCCCTCTCTCTCTCTTTACCAGTTCCAGGTCGGCCACAGTCCTGCCAGTAGCCGTATTTGATTTGGAAGTATCCACAGGAGTACGAGCTGACGTCCCACTTACAGCCGACAGGCCGACAGCCTGATTCTACCTGTCAAGAAAATATATCTATATATATTTAATGTCATGAACAGCAATCTATTGTTTTGTACGATAACATCGTCTGCTTTAATACCCTTTTTCGTGTATAACAAATACCAATACTAAGGTATTTAAATACCAATGCAAAAGTTTTAAGTGTTAAACTTAGCATACAACGTTTATTTGTTATAGGCAAAACAATGTTTAAAGTATTTATGTGCAATATATATATTTTGAATCTCGTAAAGAACTTATTTATCTTGTATATCAGCACAAAAGGAAGCAGAATGATCTATTACCTTTGTGAGTTGTGAGAATATCAAATCTGAGGATTGTATGCTCAATGTTAATTCCATCCGTCGGGTGCTTCAGCACATCATCAAGGGTCATAGCTCTGCCTTTTAATCGCAATCGTCCATATCAATGAAATTTTAAATGGAAACTGAACCAGCAAAAACGCGTGGAATTAACTATTTCGTAATTTTGCGAGAAGGATGACACAGGAAATAAAACTACTTCTGAAATCAATGTAAAATCTCTTGATCAGCTGTCCATTCGAGGGTTATAATTCTCGCAGCTTGCCATTGAAGAACCCATTCGTAATAATGAGTACTCTCGAAAAATAAGGAATTAACAGTATTTAATTTCAACAAAATCAGACGAGGTTTCTATCCGTAATAGTGATAAGGCTACACATTTTACACCAATTCTACAGACCACTCAATTAGTGTTATCTAAAAATGTATTTTTTTATGTTTCAGGATGTATATATCTGAAAGAGGCATTGGGGCCGAGAAGAAAAACTCTAAGTATAAATGTTCACTAACAGCCCGAGAGGAGAGATAACTCCTACATTAATTACTGTTTTTTTTCTGTTTTAAAGCAAGTGGAATAGCAGTTTTTGTCACTTTGTGAAAATCTTAATCAAATATTTGATTCATATCGGAAAATTAAGAGAAAAGTGATTATAAAGAGACATAGATTGATCTGATACTTTACTTTAAAATTTACTTTCCTCGTCATTGGTCATTTGCAAAATTATTTTGTTAAAACAGATTCTGATTGCACACATAAGTACCCTGTACTCTGAAGTTGACATCAAGAAGATGCCTGAGTTTCTGATTGACAATATATATGTGGTTTTTGGAGACTAGGTATTCCAACAATCTATTGGAATTCCCAAGGGTACAAATGGCGCTCCGTTATTAGCAGACTTATTTTTATATTCATATGAAGCAGAATTTATGCAAAATCTTATGCGTGAAAAGATGAAAACACTTGCTGTGGCCTTCAACACGAGATTAAGATATATCGACTTCATATTGTCAATTAATAATGGTAATTTCCATTCCTACGTCGATAAGATATATCCTGGTGAGCTTGAGATAAAAGATACCACAGAGTCCGACACCTCTATTTCATACTTGGATATTTTACTTGAAAAAGACACTTATGGTAATCTAACAACCAAGCTATATGATAAACGTGATGACTTTAATTTTTCTATCGTCAACTTCCCTTACTAATGCAGCAACATACCTTTAACACCTGCATACGGAGTATATATATCTCAGTTGATTCGATACGCAAGAGCATGCTCTACGTATGAACAATTTCTAAAACGAGGTAAATTATTGACAAGCAAGTTGATGAAACAGGAATATCAGCAGTCTCGTTTAAAGTCATCATTTCGTAAGTGCTATGGTAGATGCAATGACCTTGTCAGCAAATACAATTTATCATTGAGTCAAATGCTGACTGACGTTTTTCATACCAATTGTTAGTCCATTATTTATACACTGAATTGATAACGGGTTTTTTCCGTTATCTCCTGATCATGACAAGGAGCCCACGGCGGGTGTGACCGGTCGGCAAGGGATGCACACTCCTCCATGGCACCTTATCCCACCTCTGATTTTTCGGGGTCCGTGTTTGCTCTGCTCTTATTTTGTATTTGTTTGTGGACTTTGAGATTGAATACTGTTCGTTATCTCCATATCCTTCTCCATATCCTCTTTGTAAAAAAACCTTTCTCACAATAAACGATACGTTTGATAAATGTCTACGTCTAACATAAGGTCATTTCAAGAATTTTTTTTATAACATCCAGCGTCCGCGTAAGCCTTGCTTTTCTGTAAAAAAAAAACTGCCATACGAGATAAAAACAACGAAAATAAATGAAATTCATTATTCTTGTAAAAAAATATTTAAATTGCGCATTTTTTAACATTTGGAAAAATGATGAACTTATTTTTATATGGAGGAAATATCCAGTCCATCAATTCTATGCCTGTGTCTTAGTTGTATTTTGGTTATCTACAAAAGAAAACGTATGAATAGAAAGCAAACACATCTTTCAAAAGCAATTACGTGACTTTTAGGTAAATCACCTGCGTGTGTTAACTGGAATAATCTCATAGTTTCATTATCTTCATACCTTGGCAAAACATCAATAAAGTAGATTTTTTTGGAGTGGCTCTTCCTTTCCTGTCTTGTTTTCTTAAAAATAAATAAAGCTCTAATAGTTCCTAATATGCAGACTGACTGCCCTCATGCGAGAGTTGTGCATGTTTGATCATATCCGTTTTTTTTTTCATCGTATGACAATAATAACTTATTAAATATCCCGATTTCGTTTTTTATTTAGAATAGGTACAAACTTGAGTATGCGGTTTTCGAAAAGTAAAAACTGTTTTAACTGAATAATGGTCTTAAATCTTAATTTCATGAGATAATAGAGATAGGATCAAACATTTTTACAGCTTTGAAATATTAATCGTTTTTCTCATATAACGATATTTCAGTTTTAAAGCGTGTTTCTCATGTCAGGATACATCAGATAAAGAAACCCTCTTAAATTGATACTTTAAATATCTTATAAAACACAGCCACAGATATAATATTTATCTATCATACAATAATAACTAACATAATATATAGGCTTATACACACTTGATCTGTTAAAGTGCATTCATGGAGAGACACTTTGAAACTTTGTTATACAAAGAAAGAAATTGTTTTTAACAATACGTATTCTTGATATTGTAAAATAAACTGAAGTTTGAAATACATTTTATTTCAGGTGAAAGTACTATGGTTGCAAAGTAAGGACTATATTCTAAATTCATTTTCTCTCTTTCCAGTTTGAGCTGATTTCATTGAGCCTGGTGTAAAGAGTTCTAAATATAAACACATCCCTAATGCAATGGTACATGTATTTACAGTAAAATGAAAATTGCATTTTTTAGATTTTTTCATGTTACGTTTTACAAATTACAAACATATATTTTAACGAGACCGAGTCTAATTACTGTATTTCTGCCTAGGGATTTTGATTTTTTTTTATTATTATTATGGTTATTGTTTTAAGACTAAGAAAATCAAATGTTTACCGTCCCGATTTCTTTTGGGGTCATCTCAAATGTCAAATTTTACTATTGAACCCTATGGGAAAATATTGGAAAAGCGCCAAATAATTAATTTTTTCATATTTCTTTGAATTTCTGCCCTAGAGATTTCTTTTTCATTAAAGTACATGGAAGGTGTAGTGTATGTTGCCATACGTGGGCATCAGTGTTTCACAAACACATCTTGTTATTGCATGCTGTTGTTTCTTGGAAGGATTTAAGACGTAAACCCCATACACCTGGGTATATACAGAAACAATTAATTCATAACATGCTTTCATTTATCTCAAATGAATACAATAACAAAAAATTTTGTCAAATTTCTCTACAATGCAATTGATTAAAAAATTGATACTCTATAATCAAGAATTATGTAGGTTATATTTAAACACCTTTGATAAAAAGTTATTTAGATTTTTTTTTTTTTTTTTTTTTTTTGCTTTTTACAAATCTGATTTTAAACTTTTAGGGGAGACAGGACACATGCCACATGACTAAAAAGACATATCACGTCATAATCGGTGATGATATACATGTTAAACGTTGTTAAAATCAACAGTTCTTGATTATTTTTTATTCTAAATTCTAAAATTGTTTTTTAAACATTTAATTTTAGAAATTATTATAAATAAAATTTTTAAAGATCTTGCCATCTTTTAGATATTGTGAAGTTGCCCAATCCACACATTTGTTTCTCTTTACCTTGCAGTCTGACGTCAGTGACGACATAGACGTAGGTTTTGAATTCTCAGTGCAGCAAGATCAAGTACACACACCCGTCATGATCAGTTTTATTTAATAATAAACAGATCACAGTCAATGTATCGCGATAAATTTCTGAAGCAGATTTTTTTTAATTAATATTTTTTCGTGTTCAGTAGCAGAGATTCTCTCTATTTAGATAATTTTGAATGTTTATGTTTTTGTGCGACGTCACAATTGATTTCCCGCACTCGGAAAATACGAACGTGTAGCGTTTTTACAATGCTTACGTGTAATTCATCGATGCCCTGTGCGATACTGAGGGAAGCTTCACCCTGTGATATTTATGCAGTAAATAATAATGATGAAGGACTGACATTTAATCGTAAATTTAGAGATATTTATTGACAGATTTTTTTTTCTAAATGAGGTTTTTGTCGTTGAAGCTGCCTTGCAAAATGCAGAAATTATCCCACCCAAATACTATATAAAATTAAAACAATTGCTTTCAAATAATTTAAACATTATGAATATTCTGAAATATTTGATTATATAGTGTTATCTATCATATTTATCGTTTGTGCATAAAAATTCGCATTATGGACTCCGTTATGGGCCCGTAAACATGAAGTATCTAAACTCCATACAAACTCTAAAGAAGGCGGTATTTGTGGAGCGATATCTTTTAAATAAGTCAAGAAATCCCATGACAAGACCGTTTTAAAATGTTAAGTACATATTAACTTTGATGCTGGACTGAACCTAGAACTAAAGTACTCAAAAATAAATCGACCTTAAAGGTATATGTCCTTACAATTTTAAGGATGTTGCTCAAGACGGAAAAGTTTAAAGAAAAAAAATGTACATGTTCCAAGAGGCAATCGCATTAGATTTAAGAAATACAATTACCCTATCGGCAAATATAGTCTGGTTCCCTTATAATTAAACCCAATAAACTGCCAACCAATATGCAAACTGAATCCTAATCTTTACTAACAGTACCTCGTACTAGTTTTTCTCAAGTGGACCAACATACCAAAAATGTTTTTTTTTTTTTTTTTTAAGAATAAGGACAAAAATCCAGAAAACCAATAAAAAACACCGCAACAGGGTGGACAGACAGATATGGACGACAAAAATGTCGTAAAGAACATTTTAAGCAGGGGACCTAAGCCTTAATTATCTTTATTTGTTTATTCACATTAGTCAATTTAGCAACATCACACATTCCCAGTAACGCATTTTAAAGCCAACAGACTGTTAATCATGCAAGATAATTAC